ATTGGCACAGGACAGAGTGGAGTTTAGGGCTGTTGTACATAGGGTCACTATGAGTCGCAAGCGACTCGACGGCACATAACAACAACAACAACAACAGGCTAGAAACTGAAGGAGTACTGATGAATTTGAGTTAGAGTGTTGGTGAGAAGTATTGGGTACATACTACAAACTTCCAGAAGAATGACAATATCTGTCTTGGAAAAAGTACAGTCTCATATAAGACCTGGGGGAAATAAAACCATCACGGCCCCTCCCCGAGCTCAGTCCTTGAGGTCCTTTCTAACCTTTCTAACTCCTGATCCCTCCACCCAATCCCATCTGGCTTCTAGGGTTCTGACCTCCCAATTGGCTACCTCAGACCTTTAAACTGTCTACCTTGTGACCTCATTCCCTCACCAAGCCTATCAGCACCTGGAAGAATCTTGGGGTTCCCATAGGTTACTTGGATCATCGCAAGGGAACAGTGACCAGTAACCAGTGGTCTTCATACTGGACACACATTTTCTTTTTCTTTAACCAACCAAACATTTGCTGATACCAGCTCTTCAACTCCTGTATCTAGAGTTGTTGTTTCTTCTTCTTTGACCATGTCAGGTAAAGAAATTGTTTTAAAAGGTTTACTTAAGATTTCTCTTTCTCTAAAAATTGAATAGTAAGGTCAACATAGCATGGGCTAGTGGGGGAAATATTGAACTAGATATCTGGAAACCTACTTTGAGTTTGGGACTGAACATTTGCTAGCTAGGTGACTTTGGACAAGTCACTGAATCTCTCTTAGAATCTGCTTTCTCCTTCGCTTCATTGGGACCTTATATTCCTTGACCTCTGTGGTTCCTTCATTGACGGTTAGTGACTTTTAAAGGTACACACACATAGAGAAAAGGACATTGAAGAATTCTGGGAGCATTTTAACAGAAATACAGGGAAATCCCACAAGAAGTAGAAGACTAGCAGTATATGCTGAGGAAGGATATGCCAAGTGACCGTGCTGCTGCTATTGCAAGATCAAAAGGGTGATAATGTATGATTAGGTATTATTGGCATGGCAAGAGTCTAGAATAAGAGCTATATAGTAAAGTTGTCTGGGGGAGGGGGCCGGTGCAGACTGTATAACAATGAAAACCCTTTTTTCCCCAAAGAAAAAAGTGAACTGGGGGAGAGAGGGGACAGGGAGGAAAATGTGTAGCAATGAATGAATGAAAATCTATGTTCTTTATAAACTTAAAATAAAATCTCAATTTACAAAAAGGAGGGGAAAGGAGGAAAGGGTGATAATGGGCACAGAGCA